ACTCTTCGATTAAATTCTCTATTTGTTAAAAGATCTAAATGTTATTTTGCAGTGCAACAAATGGAGTATTTAGGTCACATCAAGAAGGAGTTTCTACTGATCCGACTAAAGTGGTTGTCGTAGTATGATAGCCTTTGCCCCAAAACCTTAGATAATTGAGAGAGTTTTTGGGCTTAGCAGGTTATTATAGGTTATTTGTTCGTGGTTATGGGGTGATAGCTAAACCCTTAATATTATTACCTAATATAATAATATAAAAAAATTTAATTTTTATAAAGTTAATAAAAAAATATTAATATTAGATGAGGCTATATGACTTGAAAATAAAAGTGATATTTTACTATTGTTTTAATACTAATAATAATATTAATATTTTTCTAAAATAAGTACGATGAAAATTATAAAATCTTACTTAAAAAATATATAATAATTATTTATTTATATTAATTAATTAATTTAATTAGTTTAAATTGATGTTTCCAAAACAAGATATTTCTACAAATTTAAGATTGAAAAGTTCAGTCAAACAAAATTTAATATAATAAAAATTTTGTAATATAATAAATTAATTAGTAATAATTTGTTTGAAAAGAAATTTTTTTTACTAAATTATAATGAATATTATAAATTTAAAATACATTAAAATCTTTTGCCTATTTTAAAATATAGAATAGGTTGGGCCATCAAATTTTTTTACTTGGCCCGTAAGGCTAAACTAGGCTAGGTTGGATTATCCGTTTTAACAACCCTAGGTTAGACAGATTAAAGGTTTAAGTTTTTACTTTTGAGATAAAAATAGTTTAAATAGAAATTACATACCTTTCAAACTTCATTTCTAAAGAATCATTGTCTTTCTAATCTCTAAATTTTCTGACTTCTCTCTAAAACTTTCTTACCTAATTTTTATCTTTATTTAAATCTGAGAACATCATTATGCTCATAGAGGCGATGAGAACATTTTCATCCGATCAAAATTCTTAAATAAAGTATGTTTTTTTTTTCAATTTGAGAGTATTTTTACAACTTTGGAACTATGATTTTGCATGTGGGTCTGTGTTAGGTTCAATATGTTAATTAGAGTTTTCTATTAGTAATATTTAACTTCCTCAGAAATTGGGAATTTGGAACTTTCAAACTTGAGATCATTGAAATTGGAAGGTAAGACAAACTAATAATAAATTTCTTAACACCCTAGGGTAGATGATCTTGATTCTAAAGGTGACTTTGTCAAATGTTTTGATTTGCAAGAATTTGATTTGTTGTGTTGTATATTAAATTGTGATTGAATGAGTTGACTTAGAGTTATGATATTTATAAAATGTCATAATATGATAATTATAATTGGACTTGATATGACATATTTTGAAAGAAAATTGAGTAATAAAATCTCACAGGATAATGTTTGATATTTGAAGTGTGGTTTAAGAGAGTTATATAGGTTTATCATATATCGTTCAAGCGGTATCTAATTATTCAAGCGGGGTCGTTCAAGCAAAATGTGTAGCGGAGAAGAGGAAATGATTCGTCTTGGGTGTATTTTCGCTTAAGAAAAATATTCTCTATCTTTATTATTTTTTTAATTTAATGATTCAAATAGATTATTATTTTAAGATATTAAATAATTTAAAACATAAATAATAAAAAATATTTAAATCCAAACTTTCTAAATTTACGTTTCTAATATTTTGACCTATTTTACGTTTTTAGCTAATTTCCTGCATTTAATATAATACACATTTCGGGCAATAAATTATAAAAAAAAAATAAGGTGCATAAGCCTTTGAATTGCAATTGTAATAACTAGAATTTGTTTTATTATATAATATTTTTTTCTCAACTTATTTTGTTTGATTTCCCCTCTTCGAATGTTTTCCTTTCCAAGAATTTTGCTTTGTTTTCAGCCAGGTGGCGGATCTTGACCATTGATCTTGGAGGGATCAAATAATATATTATTAATAAATAATAAATAAATTAAAAAGGAAGAAAGAGATGAAAGAGGGAAAGGATAAATTGTAGATATATACTTAAATATATTAAATGGTCATTAAGTTTGAGGGGGACAAGTTACAAAGCTGAGGAGGGGTTGAGAGGAATTGTAAATATTTAAGTAAATATATTAAATATTTATTAAGTTTGGGTGTCCAAAATCATAAATTACATGAGAGTTACAAAGAAGACCGCCAAAGCATTAATTTCTAATTTCTTTAGTTACTAGATAAAATCTTAGAATACTGGATATGGAAGTACAAGTTGATGAAGTAATATTATGCATAAGCCTCAAAAGCACAAGTGTGATAAAATTCATAACATGATATTTTTCTCTGTCATAATCAATTATGATGCATCGAAATGGAAAAATGATTTTCTCTACCATAATTAATTATACTGATAATATAATCAATTATGGCAATTCAAATTTGAAAAATATATCCGTTTTAAAGAATAAATATTTTTTAATACATCCTGATTTTC